ATGTTAGATGTAGCAACACACAATGGTCACGTGGATAACATATACATGTATTGAATGTGACAGAAAATAGTACGAAAATATACCAATCCAGCACATTCGTATGGAATTTAGTAAGTCACTGTAAAACATTACACAGAACAAACGGGGGAAAAGTAGGACACGTACGCATGCACACACACACACACACGCACGCACACGCACGCACGCCCGCACGCCCGCACGCACGCACGCACGCACGCACGCACGCACGCACGCACGCACGCACGCACACACACACACACACACACACACACACACACGCACGCACGCACGCACGCACGCACGCACGTCCAAGCAAGAACCTCTTACACATGCGAGCAGCCGTACGTATTTGCATGCGCGTCCGACTCGAATATCGTTATGAACTTATGGCGCCATTGTGGGGAAAAAATAAAAATGATCCCGATGGCAATGGTCAACTATTAAAACAAATTATTGTTAGCATAATTAGAATAATGGTTACGGGATATGAATGCGGAAAACAGTAGCATGACGTGATTAAAATATTTCTCATAAGCTCACTGGTACAGACGAGGCAAAATGGTGCCACAGGTGCGATCATATACTAACATACAATGCAGAACTCATTATCATGACATCTCGGTGCATTTTTTAGAATATTAATAAATATATACGGGCAGCGCAGAAGGGGGAACAGGGAATGAGGAGGGTAGCCTGGTAGATACGCTTGTGATACTAAATGTGGTGCGAAGTAAGCGGAGGAAGTAGCAGCTGGTGTGAGATGCCGACGCGGGTAATGGTTATAGAGGCCATGGTAATGGGTAATGTAAGTCGTTCGCAAGGCGAGGCGAACATGTTTGTCTATAATTACGTCGAGAAATAATTAATAAATGTTTCTAAATTCACAAGAATTGTCTTCGTTTATAAATAAACTGCACACTACAATACGAATATAACTGTGCTTGGGTCCAATATGTTGCCGCCAAAAGCATTTGTTTTCCTCTCCTGTAGATATATATCCGACACGCGATATAGTACAGTAATTTCGTATAGTCGTATATCGAGTATTTCGTATAATCGTATAGAGTTTGTATGTATCCATATTTTATGGTAAAAATTTCCTGCACAGTCGCAGCAGACACTAATAGTAAACTACTAAACTTATGCGACGAACTTGTCCCATTTGTGACTTCTAGTTTACACGCGAATTAGCGATGTATTTGATATAGATGGCAGCACCACACAGCAAGCAGCGATTGTGCCCTCACTCGCTCGCTTTCTGTTTGTATGTGTGCGTGCGTGCGTGCGTGCGTGCGTGCGTGCGTGTGTGTGTGTGTGTGTGTGTGTGTGTGTGTGTGTGTGTGTGTGTGTGTGTGTGTGTGTGTGTGTGTGTGTGTGTGTGTGTGTGTGTGTGTGTGTGTGTGTGTGTGT